CCATATTTATAACATGTCCTAGTAAGACCCCCATATGACTTGAGAAACCTAACCCAATTGAAATCCCCCAGAAAATCTCACAACTCTCTCTGAAGTCCCCAGTGCTAGGCTGCACGCACGAATCCGAGTTTGCTGGGAGACGTGTAAAACTACACGTTGGCAAAAAGCTCCCACGTGTATTCCTTCCAGCAAATCCAGGGAATATATAGAAACCCACGACATTCGCCCCAAGGTGCTCTGCTATTTTAAAATAGAAATTTCTCCTTTCTTACGTGTCTGTGTGTTACACACAAGATAATCCTTCCTCAACATGCAAGCCTGTTGCCTTTTACTTCAGCCAGTCCAAGTGCAGTGAGGACAGCTGAGCTGAAACGTATTCTCCCACCCTAACGAGTGCCCTGGAAGGCACCACCAGCAGCTCTAATTAACACTGTTCCACCTCGGATGCAATACAGCTGCAAACAAGAGGGACACAAGCCCTAGTTTGTTTGTGGGTTCTTTTTTTAAAAACCATTAAAACCTGATGTTTACATTCAATCTAAGGAGACTCAATGGCATCACACCTATAATGTCCATGCTTGAAAGGTGTGAGATCCATTATCTTTCTTCAAATATTATAATAATAATAAAAATAATAATGAAGAAACACTGTTCCATATACAGATGGTTAGACACTGTAGATTCCTATTTATTCCAGATCTATTTTTCATAAAACAGTTTTATAGGCATTTACTGAGAAAAAATTTTCTTCTCCTCACAACAAACAGCATACTGATAGTAAGGTAATACTCTTCCCCCAAAACCACTTGCAAACTCAGAATAATTCTCCAAGATATGTGGTCTCCATCATTTTCTTGGTCAAAATCTCCACCGTTAGGGAAGAAATAATAATGATAAAAAAAGAATCTTGAATTTTGAAGAAAAAGCTGTTAAATACGAAGCAACTGTACGGGGTGGGGTTGGCTTGTTTATCCCCCCCCAAGTTGAGTTTCCATGTGCACGTCAGGATGTGATTTTAGCTGACACACTTAAGGTCAGGCAACTCAGACCTCTGCGAAACAGCAGCATAATACTTTGCTTTCGAGAAGACTTTTCATGTGCTAATCTCTTGAGCACTTGAGGCAGAGGGAAAGCCTCGTTATCCCCAGCTGCAAGTGCAGGAATGGCCCAGAGCTGAACTGCCTGGCAGAGGTTCCCTGCCCCTCTCTGTCCCCACGGGGACCACACCTATACGGGAGGAGGAAGGTTAACGTGTATAGAAAAGTAGGTCTCCAGATTTGCATGTGCGCACCACGGAGGATGCAGGGAAACAGGCATAGTTCAAGTTCTCACTCTTATGGAAAATATTTCCCTGCTTTTATAGGGAATGATAGTTAGTAATGTTGAACTCCAAAGGGTTTGGAGCATTTTGTTTCTCTTTCACTCAAATACTTCACTTTTCAAGCATGTGGCATGCAATTCGTTTGTGAAATGGGTCACGGTGTCAGATGTTAACTGGGGCCTGTAAGATTAATCTTTCTATAAAATTTCAAAACCATCTGCCTGATGCTGTACTGTCAATATAGAAAACTTATTTTAATGAATTCTCATCTACTTTTTAAAATAAGAATATAAAATAAAATGCAGGCTGTGAAAAAATAAAAAAAAAGATGAGAAAAAATAATGACACAAATATAAAATGTTCCACAATATACGGAGCTCGGAAAACTCGAGAACTGAACCCACTTGTGCTGACCAGAGGGTCCGACTAGTTCCAGAGTGCAGAAGGCTCCCTCTGAACCTTCTGGCAGGTTAAAAACCCCAAAGGGGTGGTGACATCTTTGGAGTCCCTCTGTCACCGGCCACCCATCTCCTACTGCCAGCGTGTGCCTACAGCATTTTAACACACTTCCCTTCCCTGCTGCCTTTGCCATGATTTTATGCTCTATTATTTTTTATTCCTTCTCATATTTGTCCCAAAGGAGCAGCAAAGTAAAGCCGACAATGAATCCCAATAATAACAATAATAAGAGAAACCCCTTAAGTCTAGTCAGCTTTTGATCAGCAAAGCCTTTAGAAGACAAGGGGCCATAGCAGAGGCGCTGATGCTTTGGCTATAGAATAAGTAGATGATCTGTGTGCGGGTCGTGTTTTGATGACTCTCTCCACAAATACAAGGGCTAGAAACTTATATCATCACTATTTAATTTATTCACTTACTAAAAAACTGGGCACATTTTCATGGTTACCTTGCCAGCTGGTAGAAGCAGACTGACTTTGAGAGCTCTTGCTGATGACCCGATTTCCCAGAAAAAGCAGCAGGGATACAGCTCAGAAACATCCCTAACTCAGACTAATTTTTTTAATTACTTAATTTTAGGCCACATACTTCAAAATTAGGTTCTCTCCTGCATTACTGATTACTCTTATGCTAACACTTTACATTTGATGATGAACAGTGGATTTTTTTGTGCAGTGACTACTGATATTTTTGGAACAATAAACCATCTCTCTGTACTATTCCCCCGCCCCTGAATATACACGTACAGCAAGCTACATTCTAGCCCTAAGCAATTAATTATAGGAAGCTAGCTACAGTTATTGCATCTCCATCTACTTTTATTTATAAAATAACTCTCTTCAATACACAGAACCCAGTTTTCAATCTGTGAGTATGTAATTCAGATCAATACCCTACTGAAGTATTGCATAGAATGCTCTGTAATTCATAATAACCTGTCAGAATCTAGCAACTCAAACTGCTAAGCATTTTCTCAAAACTATACAAAATGCCCCCAAAAAGTCCTGTCTATCTTATTCCACTGCCAAAACATTGCTCCTTACTGTGACTTTACAATGGAAGTTATGGCAGGGGCATTTTTAAATATAAATGGAACAATACAGATAAAATATTTTTTGTTGTTTTGCCCAGTTTTAAAGAGTTCATCTAATAGGCTTCCACTTACCTCTTCCCCTGATTCTATAGCTGTATTAGAGGCATATCCTTGAACAGAATATCACACTGCTTCATTATATAAATGCAGATAGTATTTAAACACACAGGCAAGGCATGCATTTCACTTACGTAACTAAGCACATTAATTAATTCTCAGCATAATTTTCCCTTTCCTAGCATACCTGGAAAGATTAAAAGTAATCTTCAGCCAGTTCCACATTTGACTTAAAAATCTCAAAAAAAAAATAATTAAGAAACAAATACTACTTTTTTCACATACTGGAGCAAGGACCATACTCTGATGGATGTTTCTAGTGCTCGTTCAATTATTTTATATGAATACATTTAACACAATTTCCTAAAAAGTCCTGTTTTTCATAAATAGAGACTGACAAATGTAAACCACAAGGGGGGGGGACACACGACACACCAACAAGACACAGCAGTAGTAGCATCCATGTATTTGAATTGCCCATCACAGGCACACATCTCTCTCCACTGATAAAATAGGAAAGGTAGTGAATAAACAGGGTAATGCTCTGAACACACCCAACTGGTACCCTAAAACAGAAACCCTGTTTCTGTACCATACCTGGGTCTCAAAGCCCACCATGTGCACACTTCAGGATTAACACACAGCACAAACTCTACAAGACTCCTTCGATGCCAGCTGTTGAAGAAAACAACCCAAAGCACCTGCCAGGGATCTCGGTGATTTTGTGTGTTCTGTCATGCTTTTAATTCCAAAGTCATTATTCATTATTTTAGTGTATATGTATAAAAATAGATACCTGCTACCTCCCCCGCCAATACTTGGGAATCCATTCCCATAAGGCACTTAATCCATATGGGCAGAAAGATACATCTGCAAGGAGCTCTGCTAACCTAAATGATGTACTTTGAGAATCATAGAATCGTTTAGATTGGAAAAGGCCTTTAAGATCATCGAGTTCAACCGTTAACCTAGCACTGCCAAGTCCACCACTAAACCATGTCCCTAAGCACCACATCTACATGTCTTTTAAATACCTCCAGGGATGGGGACTCAACAACTTCCCTGAGCAGAAGCACAGCAAAGGCCTAAGTGACTTAATCTTTCATTCATATACCATCTTTTCACCAGAGGGATCCCAGACTGTATTAAAATCCCTAGAGGGGTATATACAGTGAAGATGGCAATCACTGAACATTTTTCTCAAGGGCTGGCCCCATTTACTCATTAACTTCCTTGATAAGTATTACAACTTTATAACCTTCCGTGACACACTTCTTACTAAAAGGTGGGGTTTTTTTTCCCTGTCAAATTTTCTGTAGACAGCACCTTGTACCAAAGCAACTAATAACAGAAAAATCACTACAAAGATTGATGGCACAATGTCCTCAACTCCATTACATCAATGTGCACATGTAAAATAAAAACTACATCAGACTGAGTTGCAAATGATACGTTAGTTTAAGATTACAAGGCCTATACTTTCATGTATCTGTGCCATAAAGCTATGATTATTACATCAGGCAGTCCTGTGCACTTGTTATGGACAGAGCCGTGCATGATTTCTAACAAAGGTCATCTTGGCCTGTTACAATATCCTCGTACACCTGCCTTCAAGCCCTGGATCTACACAAGCCAACAAGCACTTAATTCTCCATTTCATTATCAGGAATAAATGCAGTGATACCAGATCGTACTACAGAAACTGGGTCTTGGTTGTTTTTTTTTTTTAAGGAAGCACACAGAATTTGTCATCTGAAATTTGTCCAAAAGTGCATTATCATTTTGATTCACTGTGATTTATGAATGGCAACTGGAGATAGCACATATGATATATGCAGCTTGGAAACACAGAGAGATCTTTAGCAGACAAAAAATATTGTATAGATATGTTATGCTCCTATACTTCTAATCAGGCTTGATTTTATGCTTCCAGGCTTAAATTCTTTGAAACACCCATCTCCTAAGACAAAAGTTATCCTGACATATAAACCTAAGAAGATTTATTAGTTTCATTCAAGACAGTATTTTGGTATTTTGTTAGTACCTCAAACTGTGTGAAACGTTTTCTACCTGATATCCAAAGAAGACCATCCACCACATATCCTGCATGGCATGAGAGGGATCGATCAAAGGACTGTACAAAGGTCCACTTGTTCTTCTTGGGGCAATAGCGTTCCACTGTAGGTAACACCTGACGCAATTCATTTCTGCCCCCTGCTGCATAGAGGTATTCGTCCACTGCTCCCAGCACAAAGTGTTCCCGACAGTTCTTCATTGGAGCTATCTCAGCCCAAGAGTTAGTGCGGGGGTCGTACCGACAGGCAGTTCTCACCGCACAAGTGCGCCCTGTGGAGTGCTCTGCCTCTCCACCAGCTACAAAAAGAAAGTCTCCCATGACAGCAACACAGTGGTGGCTTCTCCCTACAGGCATAGGCGCTAGCTCACTCCAGTTTGCAATCCCTGCGATATGAACGTTCTCTTGATCTACCGGATTGAAGTATCGCAATTCCTTCACTTTACAGATTTCACGTTTTTTCCCACCAATAATGTAAAGAGTGTCTGACTGGAAGCGAGGTTTTGTCCTTCTGGTTTGCCAAACTGGCTGTGCATAGACGCTCTGGTGGTAAGCCAAGGCCTCATTAATAAGTGCTGTCGCAGTTTCATTAGCTTGGACAAGAGGATGAGAAAGAGCTACGGTATGCAGTGTATCCACATCCATAAGGCCAAAGCGGACATACTGGAGAAGTTCATCCATGTACTGGTAGCGGCAGTTGTGTTCCAACCACCTCACAGCCAGCTAAAAGCGGGGGGAAGGAAGGGAAAAACAAGACACCAATTATTTGTGTACAATTCTGTCAAAATTTGGTCTTTTGAAAACTGTGCTTGCATTCCAGGAAGAGCTATATACTTGCCTCGGTAGTGATATCAATCAACATAAAAAGTAGTTATGAATGCGTATGAGTGAACATAAAAGATACCTACTAAAACTCCACCTATAATATACATAAAAGCTTTGTATTGCACCAGTCCCCCTAAAGAACTTCCACAGCATTGTCAGATTGCAATACTGCTATGCAATATTCTTGCTGTGCAAACTGTTAGCGATGCTGTAGGAGACCACAATATCCCAGAATCAAGCTGCTGGAGCAATAGCATAAATGCAGGGACTATGTGATCACTGGAGACCATGGGTACACTAGAAAGAAAAGTAAGATTACAGTTAGTTGACTAGAAAAGCCCTTTCTCCCCTCCATCTTTCATTCTATTTATGACAAAATATTGAAGGAATATAACAAAATACATACTGAATCCTTCAATATTTTTTTCCTTCTTCATTTATTTTATTCATGGAGAGTGGTGTAAAGGGACCAGAAATTAAACCAGAAAAGAGAGAAGCAGAGAAAAGGCTCTGCTGGTTTGGGACTGACAGAAAGTGGCAAGGAAGACTCTAAAACTGTTCAGCAACTGCAGCTGGAATCAACAGCCAAAAATCAAACAAAGCATACTGAATCCAACCAGGTCTAAAAAGAGGCTAGGAAGGGCCTAAACCATTTCAAGAACGGTTGTGTAAGTTGTTCTTGAAAACCTCTAGTGATGAAAATACTCAAACTTCCTCAGGAAAACCATCCCCATGCTCAGCTATCCTCTCAGGACAGATTTTCCTTTTACCTATGCAGTAGCTCTAAACCCTTCAACTCATTGCCTCATTTTCCACCTTTGGGTTTATACTCCAGAGCTCAGGAACCCCCAGACCAACCCTTGAAATTAATCCATCCATACAGGATGAAAAGCACTCTGCTACCTTCCTTTTCTCCTCCACCTCAGATGCATTTCATTATGCATGTTGCAGTTTCCTCCCCTCTGAATGACAAAGTCTCTCAATCCATCTTGGGTCACATTTTCTAAACCTCTGTTGCTTGGCTCACAGTTCTCTGTTATTGAAGGGAAATGCCCCTCTTTCTTAATGTTTGCTGCTGAAAACTGGATAAAATCTTCCTCTTAAGGCTGTAGTAGTAGCGAATAGACTGGAAGGATCACTTTGATCGTAACAATCTGTGCCATTCTTGTTTGTACATCACTACACAAGACTGTCACTGCACTATGATATTGCTGATTCATGTTTAAGCTTATGACTGAGTACTATTCCCACCTCTTTTTTCTGCAGAACTTCCACAAAATGTCATGCTTTCTTTGTCATTACTGAACTCTCTACTATTTAATTCAGGCCACTGCTCCAATCTGTCAAGATCATTCTCAGTCCTGATTATATTTTCAAATGTGCTTGAAGACCATGCTACCTTCTGATTGTCCGAAAACATAAACCCCGTATTATTCTTTCATCCAAGTCATTAACAAAGACATTAACTATTTCTGGATGAGGACAGACGCCTCTACTTGATACTTCATTTCATCCTGACAAAGAACTTGTGGAGCAGGAATTTCTAACTAGTTGTGCAATAATAACAGTTTCAGCTAAAACTTACTGCCATGTATTGCTCATGGGAATGTCACATGAAGGAGCTGAAAAGAAAGGCTTCTATCTTACTCAAGGCTTTCATATACGTATGGTATATCAAATTTATTGTTGCTTCTGTATTCCGTCAGAGAGGGAAGATGACAAACCAAAACCACCTTCTTATTAACATTAATTTGAAACACTTTTGCTCCACTGTGCTATTCAACCCCTGTGAAACAAAGAACCAATGAAGGGCATCAAAAATTGCAACAGTTGTTAAGTCAGTTAAATGCTGTATTGAGTTTCAAAATGTGCATTAGCTATATGTATTTAGACTTGTTAGTAAAAAAAGGAGTTAATTAAATACATTTGAAAGTGTTTATGGACTTGAAATCATTGAGCATTATATTCACATGTTCTAAATCCACCAAATCCATGTGTCAGGTGTCTCCTACTGAGTGGTTTTAGCAACTCCCTACTCCATGTCTTAGGCCCTGTGAATCATTCCTTGAAGTCTTCAGAGGCACTTAGCTCTCATCATTGACTAGACACTTGAAATTGAAGTGGAATCCAGGCTATCTTCATTACGATGAAGACACCAACTGAATTCATACCAACTGAATGATGTGCGAGTTGCTATATTAAAAGAGAAGAATTTACAAAAACTGAGTTCTTATCTGTCATCACTTGCATCCAACAGATTGGTTTCTTTTGCTTATAGTTCATGCCTTCACTCTCATCTAAAATGGCATTGTGGAGGTATCACCTGTGCTATAATGACAGACATTACAGACTCTTAGAAGACATGCACTAATGTAAACCAGGTCTTGGTAATCACAAGGCTTTTAAAGGAAGTTTAACATTAATGCCAGTTAATATCTTAGAACTTCACCCTTCTTCTTTCCTTTATTGTCCTCCCTCCCGCCCCCCAGTAAATACTATATAAACACACAAGCAACACTACGTACATTCATACCTTTCAAAGACACAGTATCTGCATTCATTTCTGCATATGGGACGTGTGACGATCTGCAGCAGAAGGGATGGACATCTCCATTACAATACATTTTCTCTGCTGCATGAAGTTTGGCAAAAGCAACTTGGTTCATACTGAGTTTGATCTGTACTGAGAATATTCCTGGAGTTGTAAAAAATGTTTCACTGAAACCAATAATGCTTATTGTTTCTCTAAAGTCACAGAATTTCTAAACCACCACAGCGATGGTGCAAAGTGATACAAAGATTCTGTTGGCACTCATAGGAGATATACGGCACTCATAGGAGATATACAATCTATTCCCGGTCTTGAACCAAAACTTTCTCCATCCTTTCCTACACTATTTCATCCCCAATCATCTGTCCTGCATCTTTACTGATGAAAACTTTTGAATCTTTCCAAATTAAATTTATTGCAACCTCCTTGGGATCCTCTACATGCTGCACCTAAAGGTATCTTTGGTCTACACTACTTCCACCTTTCTCTTCTGACAAGCGACTGCAACAGCAATGGGGAGGGTAAGGTGAGGGGAGGTTTTGTGTAGGTTGCTACTGGCTCTTACCAGACTCCACCTCTGAGGTCAGTTTGCAGTGGAGTACTGCATTTCACCATATTAATTTAGAAAGCCGGGCTAAGAACCCTGCACATCACTATCACCGGGATGGTCTGTAGGCATTTGATAATCAGCAGAGAAGCTCTACTGGGTCATAGGGAGGCAATTGATGTCTGGGAATCACAATGTGTTTAGAAGCTCCTGTCCAGATCAACTCATGCTACTGTTGAACACAATTTGACTACAGTATTCTGTGTGAACCACACGTAACCTGTGGCACTTTAACACAGAGAAAAGGCTGTAAGAGCTAAAAGCTACAGTGTTTTAATCTCCTTGTCTTGCTACTGGTAACACTGACTGTTACTTGATTTTAAATGCCATAAATTCATTTTGGGACACTCCTTAAAAATAACTGCTAGGAATTTAAGCTACAAATATAGGTATTTATACATGTATTCATAGAATATAGGACCAACTCCTAAATTGTGACACAAGGCTATGGAACAGGTCATATAGTTTTAGGGACACTCACAAACTGAGCCTTAGACTTACACATTTGTTATGCAGCACACATCATTACGGTGCTCTCTAGCAGAACATGGTGTCTCACACTATGGAGGCATGGAAGAAAATTGAGTTATCTCTCTGGGTGAACAGATATTCTAGTCACTGGATGGTTTGGCAGCTATTGGAAGGCTGGAGAAGTTCAAAAGAAAGAAAATTAAGTTCCCAAACAAGTCTTTTACTTGTAGCAGAAATAGTCACTGATGGACTGTAATGCAGTTCTAAAATTCCTTCAATGTAAAGGAGGCAAATATAACTCTCATGAGCATATGGCAGAAGCACAAACTTCCATGTAGCGTTGATAACTATACAGATGTTTGCTGACATGCAAGTTCCACCACCTTTACTCAGTTTTTATTTAATCTAGACTTAGAAACCTGGTGCCTACACAGAAACTCCAAAATTCACCCTGTCTATACACTAATTATAGCACCTATTTTTTAGCCTCTCTGGCAGGAGTGATTAGCAACTATAATCAGTGTTGGCAAAATAAACTCAAAGCCATTATACACTTTATGACATTGCAAGGAGAGACATTCAGACTTCTCTAAGGAGATACCAATAGCACTTGAAATTACAACTGTGTTTAAAACGCAAACAAGTAAGCAGGAAAAAACAAAGAGACCATCCACAGTTTTGAGTTTTAAAATATTTGTATCGCTGCTAAATAATTTACAAAAATAAGGAAATACTCCTACTCCTAGTGCCATATAGGCAAATCCTGTTTAAACTGCTAGAAGCTTCTTTTCTATTAATTTTAATGTATGAGCGTGTGAGAAAAGGAAGCTACAGCCTAGTGCCTATATCAACTTTAATAAATAATATATTTTGCCATATTCATCTTCTAAACTAAGTAAATGACACAAGTAGACCCTCAGAAGGACAGGATTTTCAAACCAGATGAATTCTCTTATTCTAAAGCCTTAACCCAAAGGATTTTTCTTCTCCAAGGTTACATTACTTGATTTAGCAATGGAGTACATTCTCAAAACAGCAGAAAACAGATGGAAAAATATATTGTGCCACAGTTGGAGCGTACATCTAAACACACCTGCATGTTGGATTGTGATTTCATTGTATTTCCATTTCCAATGGCTGCTTCCTATTCCAGCACAGTGCTTCGACAGTCCAATTCACACAGCCTCGGTGCATGGCCCTTCCCTCACTGCTGTTAATGGTACTTATTATGTACCAGTTATGTTATGTTACATATGTTATATGTACTGC